CTCACCCCACCCCACCCTGCAACTTCTCTACCTGAGACTGTGAAGCACACCCCACAATCTAGAGGCCCCTCTCCTCCCCACCCTCCTTCCTGCCCTCCGTATTGCAGACTCCATTCCCTCCCCACTACGACCTCATGCACCTGTGCTCCAGACCCCCACCTCCCTGTCCCTCCACGCTCCTCGCCTCCCTCCTGCCTGCCTCCTTCTCCAGTCCCCTTTGCTCCTTCCCAGCTCTCCCTCCTCCCCCCAATCTACACCCTCCTCCCTTCCCCTGCCCCTCCCCTGCCTCCTGACCCCCACAGTAGACCTCTCCTCTCCCTTCCTGCAGAGCCACCTTCCCTCCCCTCCCCATCCCTTCCTCATGCCCCTGCTCCAGATGCCCATCCTACTCTTCCCACTCCTCACTTCTCCCCACACACCACCTGCATCCCATTTCCTTGTAACCCCTGAATCTTCCTCCTGCCCCCCAGGACCCTGCTCCCTTCACTCCCCCCTCCTCCTTGCACAGGATCTCTGCGGCCCCTCACAGACCCTGGGTCTTGTCCAGCCCCCTGAGCTATATAAGAGCAGCCTCATTGAAAACAGTGGGAGGTGGCAGCCAACTTTACTGGGGGCAGCCTCACTCCCACATGCCGACAGACTGTAGGGAGATGGCGAAATCTCGCTGGCTTCAGCGCCAATGACAGTGACAGGAGATGGAGCCATTTGGAATAAGGGAAACTCCGTGAGTTGGCACCTTTCATCGTGTTCTCATGAGACAGGTAAAAACACCCCAAATCGCCAGAGTGGGGATAAAATGGTGAGAGCTGCAGCACTGACAGCCCCGAGTGTGAGGCCCTGAGACGTATGAAGGTGGCGCCATGAGGCAGCTCTGGGCATGTCCCATTCTCCTGGCTCTGGGCGCAGATCCCCTGCTGCTGGGCACGGACTCTGCTTTGATAACACTGGGGAGGGGGCTCCCTGCTCGCTCTGACCCTGCTCTGTGTTTCTCTTTGAAGGTGCCAACGAGTTGAGGCTGGCGGATGGAGGCAGCCCCTGTGCTGGGAGAGCAGAGGTTAAACACCAGGATCAGTGGGGGACGGTGTGTGATACCAACTGGGACATGGCAGATGCTGAGGTGGTTTGTAAGCAGCTGGGATGTGGATCTGCTGTCAGTGCCCCTGGCTGGGCTCATTTTGGAGAAGGATCTGGACCGACTTGGCTGTTTTTAGTTGATTGTGGTGGTGACGAGTCAGCTCTCTGGGACTGCAGACATGAAGGATGGGATGCAGTCCAGTGCCCTCATTCTTTTGACACTGGAGTGATCTGCTCAGGTAAGAACTCGGCCAACCAGCCCCGTAGGAAATTCCCCATGAGGGAGAAGGGACTGAACCCATGTGTGACATTCCTGGTGACTCAGAACTGGACTGCCCTGAACTGGCATCAGCATTTAACTGACCAGTGTCTCCCTGAGCTCCCCTGAATAGAGTGGGGATGAACAGGCTGCAACGTCCTCTAGGCGGCCAACAGGGGGCAGTTGCTGTTGTGAGTGGCCCCATTAGCAGGTCTGTGCTGGTACATGCCTGTGTGCAGCAGCCCAGTGTCTT